AAACAAAGTGATTGTAGATTCCAGTTATATGATATATTGACAAAACTTTAATATAATACATGTGCCCAAAATCAGCCGGATTACCTCTAATGAGTTTAATAATAGCTGTTTTCTAAATTTTAAATCAGTTTGGATTAAAAGACGTGCACATGAGTCATGACTATATTTACTTTATTGGACATCCTATAAAATCCATTCATATTAGACAACATTCAGCCTTATACAGTAAATGCATGGCAATTATTATTATTTTTTTCTTTTTAAGTCTTCAATTGATACAGAACACTTCCTGGTGGGACAGAAAACAAAGTTATTGTTGATTCCATTTACATTTTTTATTATATTTATTAGCGCTGCACGATATTGGAAAAATGATACTTTACAATATTTTTTTCCCTCTGCAATACACACACACACATATATATATATATATATATAGTGATATAATTTCCCCAGATGACTTACATAGCTCTGTTTGCAAAGTAGTACTTGGGATAGTTTTGTAGGGGAGTGAAATATAAGTATTTTTATGTAATTTATTATATACATAAAGCAACAGTATTCAGGTACAGATATTGAATAATTAAATGTACATTAGATTAGTCAGTACTGAAGCCAAATCTGGAGCTTATCTAACAAAACAACTTAAGATAACGGTCCAAAATTAGCACACCCAAATTTAAATGTTAGAGAAAAATATCAAATACAAATTTTAAAAAGAGGAAAAATCAAGAGAAGTAAAAAATTGAAGAATTAGGTTGAACTTTTGTAGGTTGTAATTGTTTTTTGCAATATTTTGCCTGAATTTAATTGTATTGTCTTTCAATCTCTAAATGTTTGATGACCAAAATGTTATTTTAATGAATATATCTGTTTAATAAATCTGTTTTGTTTAAATGCACTAAAATACATTGCCTGTATTCACTGAGAAATGGAGAAAAACATCCATTTTCAATGGGTGTACTCAATTATGCTGGGGGCACTGTATATTAGGGTTGCACGGTTTACCGGTACTTCAGTAGCACCGCGATACCATGGCTCCAAAATACTGGCGGTGCCACTGTAGTTTGTAAACAGTAGTATCGTCATTAACGGTTTATATAATATGTTGTATGTGGAAAAGACACTAAAATGCTCAAACATTTGTGCCAGCAAATAATCAGTAGACCACTTTATTTTACTTTCATTTTAACTGTCTGCACACGGGTCATAGTTTGCTGCAGAAATGACAGATCAAATGGTGTGATCAATTATTTATTGATTTATTTTAGTAGTATTATTATTATTGCAATATTAACAGTCACAGTAAATACAAAAAAAGCAGTGAAGGTCTGTACAAATAATACGTTTTCAATAATAAGGGAATTTAATTTAAGCATTATGACATATAAGATATAGTATTTCTGACAATTTGCTTTATTTAGTAGATTTGAGTTATAAATTAAAACAGTATTGCGAAACTACTTGGTATCGTGATACTTCAGCTGGTATAGTATCGTGGCCTGAATTGATGGTATCTCGACAACCCTACTCTGTGTGTGTGTGTGTGTGTGTGTGTGTATGTGTGTGTGTGTGTGTGTGTGTATATATATATATATATATATATATATATATATATATATATATATATATATATATATATATATATATATATATACATACACTTCTATCTATCTATCTATATATCTATCTATCTCTCTCTATATTTATATATAAACTATAATGTAATTCAAGTGCACAAAATGAACTTGTTTACCTCTAATGAATGTTGAAAGAATGTTAAAATTGGCCATTTTCCAATTTACCACGAGAATCAACGACAACTTGCCACAAATTAGATATATTTGCCGTTTACTTCCATTTATAGTCACAGCTCTAAGTCAGAGCATACCTCTGAAAAGTGAGGAAGCATGCGGTGAGCGCTTGACCTTTAACCCCAAACCCTATGTCGTCATTTCCCCAAGACTCAGCGGCTAATGCCCAATGCTGCTGAGAGGGAGAGAAAGAGTGAAGAGAGGGAGGGAGGAAAGGAGAAGGAGATAAAGAAAGGGAGAGCAGAGCGCGGAAATTTCGTGCCCGCTTCTTGGCGCGAATCTGGCAGGGGGGAAAATAGAAGCGAGCCGCCGTCGCCAGTCGCTTCATAGATGGTTGTTTTTGACGCCGCCAGTCCCGCGAGCCCTTCTGTTATCGCAGCGCTGCGTTAGCATTTTTAACATTCTTTACCTCAGACCACATCTCATCTCCACATCTCTAACTTCTTTAAAGCGTTTTAGAGTGCAGTAGTCGCGTCAAGCTGGTCCTATAAAACCTGCACAATGGGGGTGAGTTTGTCTGTCCTTGTTGTGTGTTGTTAGCTTTGCTCTTATTTGGCTTTTGAAAAATGCGTGCGGCAGTTTGAACAAAGACTGATGGAAGCAAATCATGATGCCCGGAAAGAGAGGCACGGAGGTAAACGGCGGAGCCCATGAATAACGAAGGGGTGGTGGTGGAAAATTTGGTGGTTTAAAGATGCCCGGGTCCCGAATGGATTCCTGTAGTGTCCACTAATGTCCTCCTCAATTGGTTTCTGGCTCATTTTTTCAGGTGCCTCGTCGAATGCGCCATTTCTGTAATATTAAGCACAACAAAACACCGATACATTTGACACCGCAAACTGTTGCTGTTTTCGCCTTTATCCGTCTCCAATAGTCGATGTATTGAAGTCATACGAGGACTGGGTCTGATATGAGTATCGTGTGCAAGCTGTGTATGTTTGAGCTTCCTCATATATTTGGCTTTTTAATTAACACGATGCCAGCAGCCACTGTGAGACAGCCTCACACGACAGCCTGGATATAATAATACACATTTAACGTTATATCTGATATTAGTCAACTTTATGTACACAGCCCCCAATCTACAAGCCCTGAAAACTGTTCATCACCACGTGCTTTGTGTTCTCAGCACCTGTTTCCTGCTTCACTTATCATGAACATACCTGAAGCTAAAAACAATATTGCTTTCTGTGCTTTTTGCCCATTGTTGGCTTCTGGTTTATTGATATGGTTCATATGTGACACTTTTTAAAATACAGTAAATAAATGTGCACATTTACAGATCATATGATGTACTTCAATGTAGTCCCACATGAGCAATTCCAGCGTTATGATTGTCATGTTCAGTAAAAACTTAAAACGTAACTTCACAGAGGAAGAATATGCTAACATTATTTTGAAACCTCTGTTTATATTTTCCAAAAGAACTAACCACAGAGTTGTGGGGTCAAAAATATCAATCTGTAAACGTTATTTATATTTTAATAAAGGGAAATAGACCTGCGTTATGGATGTGACCAAAAAAGTTTGCGAGTTTACAGCATGCACATGTATATAAAAAGTTTGTGAATTAAACTGCACAACCCAAAACTAATAATGTTAATCAAAAAGATAAGAGCTGGCTCTTTATAGAACTAACATGATTAAGTTTATTTTGTTTGACATTGTTTGCATTTATAAGTAAAAAGCTTCGTTATGGATGTGACCGATGTGAAATTGCCACTTATGTGACTTTGGTAAATCAAAAATAATTGTGTTAAAACATTGACAGATACATTTTTGAGTACATTTACACACTGTAAAAAACAAGCCTACACACAAAAAAAATACTAGAAAGGGTTTTGCTATTTTGATGAAATTGGAATTGCTCATTTGTAGGCATAAAGCTAGTTATGCACACATTATTATATTTATGTGATGTATTTTGATGACAATATATTTGCTTTCTTGTGTTGGTTGGATGGTGATGAGGATATTATCTAGCCATTTTTATTTTTGTTTAAGCTTTGGACATCATTTTAGTTAAAATAAACCACACAATATGGGTAGTTGGTTGTAAATATTACGCATTTAATTCCACAAATAGTTTGCATTTCATTCTATTGTTATTTCATAAACTGGTCTAAATGTCTGAAAATACTAGTAAAATATAATAATGTCAAATGTTACAATTTGTACATGTAATCTAATAGTGAGTAACGTGTTTAGTTATAGGCTGGTATATGATCCTGATGTTATGATAAACTTGGATAAAAATATCACGGGTCTACGGTATTGTGATTACTGCTCTACAATATATTCCTTTTACATGTCTGGGTAAAAAACAATCGTCCCCCATTGAACACAATATGTTTTATTTTAGGATGTTTAACATCAAACATGTCAGGCTAAATAATTCAAATAATAAAAATTCATTGGCTTCTGCTCTCTTCATTAGTTTCAAAACACAGATTTCTTTACAAATTAAAATGACATCTTTGAATTTCTTTTCTGCTGGAGATACTGTTGTACCAAAAAAAATAAAGTAAAAAAAAAAAAAAAAGAAATTTCATACACTGTAGGATGGTATAACAGAACATTTTGGCGCTTTAAAACCTTGACTTTTCCATACCGCAGTATACCTTGAAAATGATTATCGTCCCATGCCTACATGTATTACACATAATTAGTTTTGTTAATGTTTGATTGTTTGATAGCTCACAGCACATTAACTAATGTTAACAAATAAATTCTGCATTTATTTAAGGAATATGTAGTTATCAATGTTGTAAATGTTAAAATGTGCTCAGATTCTTAAATGCAGAAGTATTTGATTGGTTTTTGTTAGCTAAAATAGTTCACCTTAAAAGAAACCTCATTGCTAACTAGTACAGATTTCTTAACTTGACAATTTTTACTAATTTTACCTGTAATATAAAATTGATTTTATTACATATTTTATTATTATTATTATTATTATTATTATTATATACTAAATTAACCTGGTTAGTTACAATAAACAAAAAGTAAATCACAATTAATATATCTAGAGCCGTTCATCAGGAAGCTATTCCTTTTGTTTTATTAGAAACATTTAAAGAGATCCCAGATTATTGACATTCTCAATTTTTAAGTCACATTTTAATACTGCATTATGTAATATGTATTTTCAATGCAGCCTCATTGTAATAAATAGAGATACGGGTGTGAATGTTGAAAACCTTTAGCTGTAAAGTAGCTCTACACAAGACAATAGTGTAATTATTCAGTGCGCTTTATTTCAGTGATCCAGTTAATTTCAGAAGCCGCTCTTTGTATATTCATATCCTACATTTATCACCCTCTGCTCTCTAGACACATTTATTGGCGGCCAATCTGTTGGTTTTGTTCACAGTTGGCTCTGAATTTCCCAAAGAAGGACTCAAGGTTTTAATACATAGTATGAATTTCAGAAGCCTTTTTCTTTTTTATCCCCAAGGATGGTGATTAACAGTGTCTCCATTTATCATTTAGAGAAAATCAAACCGAGCAAAGGAGAAAAAACAGAGAAGACTTGAAGAACGGGCAGCTATGGATGCAGTATGTGCTAAAGTGGATGCAGCCAATAAGGTGCTCTTTAAAAGAAAGCATTTCTTAATGTGACCGATTGTCTTAAAATTTACAATTGTTCATATTTCTGCAGGGAAATATTAAGCTAAATTGCTTCATGTTTTGTTTTATGTTTTACTACAGCTTGAAGATCCTTTATCTGCCATGCCAGTGTTCAAAAAATATGACAGAAATGGGTACGCTCCCCTTTTTTTCCATTCTGTCAGACGTCATAGTCTATAAAATTGTAAACTATGATGTCATTTGTTTTTGACATTGTCATTTGCCATATTGATATCATGAATGTCTGAACCTGTCACAGGCTAAACCTGCAGATTGAGTGTAAACGGGTCACTGCGTTGAGTCCAGATACAGTGGAATGGGCCTATGAGCTGACCAGAGCCAACATGCAGACGCTGTAGGTATTAAGTAAATGAGAGGTAATCCAGCATCTTGTATTGTTTGATGTTACTGTGCTTAATTCAGATGCTACTGAATCATGCTTTATTGAGAGAGTGATTTGAAGTCACTTTCTGTTTGCAAGTGATATTTAACATTGACTTGAAAATTAAAATTGGGATGATTTACTTGCCTAATTGCAAACCAGCTTTGTTTTTCTTTTGTGAAAGTAAATGATAAAAGAATTGTCATTTTGGGTGAATTGTCAGTCCGTTTAAAGCTTTTAAGGGCTTTTCTACAGCTGGTCATTTAGCTGTTTTCCATGAGCAGCATTTCTGTGAACTGTTGCTACAAGCCTGTGACTAATGTGCATGTGCTGTTTGCTTCTGAGAAATGTTGGTGCTTTTGTAATTCGTGCCGTTTTTAAAATGTTAAATTGTGGCATTGTTTTGGCAGATATGAACAGAGCGAGTGGGGATGGAAGGAGAGGGAGAAGAGGGAAGAGATGAAGGACGAGAGAGCCTGGTATCTGCTGGCCCGTGATGCTGACTCCACACCTCTAGCCTTTTCCCACTTCCGATTCGATGTGGAGTGCGGAGATGAGGTGTTATATTGGTAATGATTATTACTTATCACACAGAAACACTAAATTTATTTTGTGTCTTATTAAGATTGCACATTTTAATAATTTTTTTCTGATAATATTAGAGATTTTTTTGTAAATGTATTTTACTATTTTTAAATGAGAGGATTTGAAACAAAAGTGTTTCAACTAAACATAGAAAAGCTTTTAAGTGCTTTGACTGTTAAAATATATGAAAAAGTGTTTTTTTTTTTTTTTTTTAAATCATTCCATTGTCAGCTTTGTGAAAACTACAAAAGTGCAATTTTGTGAAAACGGTGACGTCTGCTTAAGCTTATTATGCATTCAGTCTTTAGGCATGTGAAACTAAAACAACAGTGGCAGACTACAGGTCTACATGTATGCAGACGCGTAGGGTTTCTTCACAAAGAAATGCATTATGCAGCAGTTTTACTTGTTGCTGATAGGTATGGATGTGGAAGGTTTACACAGTTGTCCACTGTTTTCAGTATATTGTTGTGTAAACATGCACTTTTAACACACTTGTTGTTTTTGAAAACACAAAGAATTCACAGGAACATTTGTAATTATCATATATTAACGTCTGAAAGCTTATCTAATTTATGTATTTATTTGTTTGTAGTTTTTATTTTGAATGAACTGGAATAACGAAGCACCACCTAAATGTAATCACTGCCAAGCTGCTCTTACCATGAAACATATTTTGTTGAAATGTGGAAGTTTGAATGCCATTAGACTTTTCCTTATGAAATGAACTCTCTTAAGAACACTTTTAGCAAAGTAACAAATAAAAAATGTAGTTTTTATTTTATGTATTAGCTCTAAAAATCTGATTTTATCCCTTGTAACTACCCCACCAAGAAAAACATTTTTGGATTGAATTTCTTAACTCCTAATATTGCTAGTTAATGCACTCAATGCATTTTTTCAACACATCCCATAATCTCTAAAATATCAGCCCATGATATGTCAAACATTTTGAATACTGAATCATTTAGATTTTTTCATAAATTATTTCAGATCTTCAATTAACATTGTTTTTTTTTTTTTTTTTTTTTAACAATAAAATCAAACTCAAGTGTAGTAGTGCAACAGGATTATGCTTGTTTGATTATTTTTGTAAACTAACAATGCTGTTTGTGTAAACCATTATTTAAAACAGTCATTCTTTAAATAAGTTTAACTGTCATTATTTAAAACAGTAAAAACATGGTCAACCATTTGGTAGAGCGGCAGTCAAAGAGTTTAGTATTCATTTGTTTGTTGATTTTTAATTGTATATTTATTATTGAAATGTTCTTGCGTTGATAATAGCTTTTGTTGCTGACATGGCATTATATTAAAAAATTCATTACATTATCTTAATTCATATGTTAATTTAGCTTGAAATTTATTCTTTTTTCTTAGACGGGGTGATTAAAGTGGTTCATTTAAAAAGTGTAATATAAAATCTTATTTATTTATATATATATATATATATATATATATATATATATATATATATATATATATATACAGACAGACAGACAGACAGACATACATACATACATACATACATACATATATATATATATTTATACACACACACACTTTAGTTAATCTTGATTGCTATAGTGCTTGTACGATGCACATTGTCAAAGCAGCTTAAAATAATGTAATTATTCAGTTAATTTTTGGGATACAAGTACTTTTTGGGAGTACTGTTAATGTTAAACATTTATTTTATTTATTTGACCCTCAGCAAATTGTACTTGTATTTTGAACATATTAAAAGTGTTATGAAAAATAATCATCAGTTAATTGATATCTACCAAATTTATGATACTGTAAGTGTAAAATTGTATAGTACCTGTCTGTCATTCTCGCCTCTTTTGTCTGTCACTGTTTTATTTCTCTAATTTTAAATATAATTCTGACTGTATCTGTTGCTCTATCATTCATATATCTGTCTGTCAATCTCTTTTTTCTACAATATAAGTATTTCTACCTCTCTCTGTCTCAGTCATTAAAGCCATTGTTTGTATGTGTAGGAAGGCTTCTGTCTGGCGTGTTATTTTTGCAGTGTGTGACTTCACTGGTTTTCTGAGTCATAAAAGACTCTTGCCCTCAGAGATTGCTGTTTGTTTCTCACTGTTTCTAATAATGTCTCCTCAGTTATGAAGTGCAGTTGGAGAGCAAAGTCAGACGGAAAGGCCTGGGGAAATTTCTCATCCAAATCCTTCAGCTTATCGCCAACAGGTACCACTACAAACATGGCTCTCAAGGAATTTCATTTCCCCATTTGTTGCTTTTGCCAAAAATTAATGATTTTCTTTTTGTCTTTTTGCTTTTTTCTCAGCACGCAAATGAAAAAGGTCATGCTGACAGTATTTAAACACAATCATGGGGCTTACCAGTTCTTCAGGGAGGCTTTACAGTAAGACCTGTCCTTCTGCACTCATTCTACACCTCCTGTTTCAATAATCATCCAGTCACTTCTATCTGTTTGTTAAGCTCTGTATATTTTGAATACACTGTCTTGGTCAATCGCTTTAAATTTCTCTCTTAATAGCCATTTATGACCACTTTTTAGTTCTTTCGAAGCTAATATTTTACAATATCAAGGCGTTCACCACAGTATCTGGACTTGCTGTTTCCAAGACACCAATGTAACCAATGTAGACTTGGCAAATTTACTTTAGACACGATACCAAAAATACAGTCTGGATTTCCAGTAATATTCAGTTTATCAATCACTCAATATTCTCAACTTGTTTGTTTTAATGCAGGGGTGTCCAAACTCGGTCCTGGTGGGCCAGTGTCCTGCATATTTTATTTCCACCCCAGTTAAACAAACCATACAAAAACTTTCAGGCAGGTGTATTGATTAGAAGTTGGAGCTAAATTATGCAGGACACCGGCCCTCTAGGACAGAGTTTGGGCACCCCTGTCCTAATGCAACAAGTGTCCTACAAAGTGGACTATGGATTTCAGATTGAAGGGAGCCTATGTGTTTCATTCAATATATGTTTTAGAGTGTAATGTGTATGTATATTATTTATTTATGGAGGTATATTACGTCACGCTACTCTAGTAAGGCGCTGCAGGCAATGCTGTTGTTTAAATCCGTGAATGAATGAAATCTGTCAGTGAGATAAAGGCTTCTCGTGCTTCTGTAGAGTGTGGTGAATAAATGACTAGGGAAGATTGCACACTGCATAGAAAACGGATCAGTCAGAACACAGATCATGCATTGAGCGATTCCAACAAGCTGGTTATCTAAGGGTGCTTTCACACCTGTGAATCGATTCAGTTGTTCCGAAACAGAGATTAAAATTGTTACATTGTTGCTCTTTGCTCTTGGAGTGGTTCGCTTTCACATTGCAAAGTTTCTAATCGGACCAAAAGAGCTAAAACAAGTCACGTGCGAGTAAACTCTCCTCACATTGGTCAGAGTGTCAGGGTTTATTTTGTAGCGTCCCGCTCAGCTGTCAGGAGAGGTGGTGGTTTGGTGGTGATTGACAGGGTGCGCGCGTGTGACGTGTCTGAGGAGAGATGCGGTGGGGAGGGGTGAGAAGGGTGCGCGACGATGCCTATTTGAGGACTGGGAGAGAGACGCGAGATTACCGGGAGATCATCACTCGTTTGCGGGCATCCGGAGACTCGCGAAACTTCCCGCCCTATTCATAATTCTCTCTTCATATAGCCGTATATGCCTATTACATATCCATAAAACACTGTGATATAAGCGCGCTCGGATCGGATCGCTTTCTCACTGCGATCGAACCACTCCAGGGTTCGTTTCAATCTAGCCGAGACCACCTCACTCAAGCGATCTCGGAGCGATTACTTTGGCGCGAAACAGAGCGCGATTGCCCTGTTCACATATGCCAATCGAACCGCGCTAACTGGGCAAACGAGATACGTTCCGAAACAAAAGTGTAGGTGTGAAAGCACCCTAAATCAGCTGTGTTAAATAAGAAAGACATGAAAAATATGCAGATTGGTGGGGCATGAAGACAGGGATTGAGAAACGCTGGTATTATTTCAGTACACTGTGAGTGTACAGTAGTCAACATTTGAAGTGGATTAAAAAAAAAAAGAAAATGGTCTGAAACTACTCAACACCCTCCGTTTCTTGAGACCGTTTTGACAAACTTTTTTGATCCACTTTAAATGTTGACTAATATATATTAGTACCATTTGTTCGCTTTTGGATTCAGAGGCTGTGGCTGTGTCTCAACCACTATCCTTGTTCAGTAGTCAGTGCACTGATTTAGGCATTAGCCATTTTAGGGCCCGTCTCAATCACAAAATTCTTCCAGTACATGGAAATATTAAATGTAATGACAAACGAGAGACGTTTTTAAAACAATTCATTATTTTTAACAAGAATGAACATGGCTAGATAGGTTAGGAAAAATCTAGGAAACATTTATAATTGTTTAATTGTTGAAATGTGGCTGGCAGTGTTGGGGAAAGTTACTTTTGAAAGTAATGCATTACATTATTGAGTTACTCCCCAAAAAAGTTACTAGTTGCGTAACTTGGTTACTTTTTATAGTAAGTAATGCGTTATGTTACTTTTGAGTTACTTTTGCATTACTTTTCCTGGCCTGGCTGAGTCTTGATCTCTTACAGAACTTGTTTTTTTTTTCCTTTCTTTTTTAAACAGAGGAGATCTGCAATTAACAACGCACTGTATAATCTACACATTCATTAACCTTTTAAAAACACAATAAAAAAAAAAGATGTTTTATACTTGATGCATTCGCCATAGTGATATTCTTTAAAAACGACAAGAAGCCCACCATAAATCAGATGTATAACGAGATGTTGGAAGTTTACAGAACAACATCAGGTCATTAATATTGTTCAAGATTTCTAAACTTATTATTTTTATTAGTTTTTAAAAATTATTTGAATGATTATAAAGATTTTAATGAGCATTTAACATAAATTTTGATGCATCACTTGCTTTTGTTCATATCTCAGACAGTTCTACCTATTAAAGTTAAATATCAATGACAAGAGAACATGGGTTGCTCTACAAGTATATTTTTTATTATGGCAAGAATAAATGACAAAAAAATTACACTTTCTAAAAAAAAAATACAGACTTTTTTTTTTTTTTTTTTTTTAGCCCGCTCCACAATTCACACATTACTGTCTGGCTAGTTTTTGTCCTCTGCTTATATGCCAAGGCAATAATGGTCCAACATTCCTGACCATTATCACCAATAAAGCCTAGTAAAACCGAGCATTAGTTTACTGTAAACCGATAGGTTCAAATATTCTTTTCCAGTCATCAAAGAAATAAATTTGTTACTTCATTTTAGTTTTGTAACTATTAAACTGTAGAAGCTATGAATGGCTGAAAAACATATTCTGTATTTGTGTATTAAAACCACCTGGGTCTCCACTATTGCCATGCTCTCTCGTTTTGCTTTTAACAAACTTTTCCCTCATGTTTTTCTTAACATATTTTATCAAAAACTGTTCACCTTTCCCATGACTGTTGCAATTTCTAGCCAAGAATTGTTGGTAATCTGGTTATCCCTATGATCACACATGGACGGATCGTAAAGATGTCTTTACAGTTGTACCTGTTACAGACAAAATCTCTTCGTAGTGTTTCATATTAAACTCAAATAAAAATGCAGTACCTCACGAACTGTTTTCGTGCGCTCACCATCCAAAATCATGTCATGTGCACTCGAACTGAACCTCCGCAAACTCGTCACGTCACATTCGCCACTCACACTCTAGTGAACGTGTCAAGTATGAATCAGGCTTTAAAAAGTAACATAATTACCCCCAACACTGGTTGCTGGTATATGAAATAATGAAATTATATAGCTATAATGTACTTTTTAAAAACAGCTAAATGAATATATGAAAATGAAAAGTTCTGCAGTTGTTTATAAACAATGAGGCTGTTCTCATGTCACACTCAATATGTCCCAATGTGTAGTGAACCTAGCTCATCACTGCCCGAATTCGTGCACATGACCTACTGATGACCGACCTCAGGAGCTTGCGCATTGAGCTACAGCTTATGATTCATAACGTCAGACTTAACAAGCGAATAAAACCAGGTGTCCCAGTCGACTGCCTTGTGAATTCACTCATCTGAACTCTTACAGGTTTGAGATTGATGAAACCTCACCCAGTATGTCGGGCTGCTGCGGCGAAGACTGTTCCTATGAGATCCTGAGCAGGAGAACGAAGTACGGCGAGGTCTCAGGCCACGCACATGGAGGCCACTGCGGAGGATGCTGCCATTGAGAACCAGTGTGTTCATTCAGAGCTTCCTCATCACCCACAATCCCCCATATTCATCAGCGAAAACCCCCCTCTATGCTTGCTCTTGGTTTGTTTTAACTTATAAAGCTCATTCGCCATTTCATGTAATAAGCGATAGTGTGCTGTTTTTGGGTTTCCTATAAGTATGAATGACAAAACAAAATGGCAGTAAGGCCACTGTGAGCCAGATGTACCTTCTCTCACCTCAGGTGTCTGAAAAGAGCCCGTTTCTCTTCTTCATCAGCTGTTTTGTTACCGCAGTGAGTGAATGCAAGTGTTGGTCACAGTGGTTTTTACGGCCATTTGATTCTCTACCACTTTTCAGGGTAAACGCGTTTTAACTAAGAGCTGAAGTTTGCTTCACACGTCAAGAAAAACAACTATCTGTACTGTTTGTAATTCCTAATCACTGAAGCTAGACTGTCTCAGGTCATTCAACTTCAATATTTTATAACTACGACTATTAGGGGAATTGATGGATGAGGATTATATCGGCATTTGATTTGATAAAGAAGTTGGCATGTTAGCTAGTGTAGAAATATGCTTTCGTTTTACTTTGTTTTTTATCATAGCATACTTTTATCATGTCATTATTGTATATTTTCATTTTTTTCTCTCTCTCTCTCTTCTCTGTATATAATCCGTTTGCCATGTACATTTTATTTGCCTTCAGAGACATTGGAAAAATGATATACAAAAGTTTAAAACAGTTTGAAAGATGAGTGTCCTTGTCTTGTGCTCTCGTTGAACTGAAACGAAAGGTCATTCCTGCTTTGTGTTTGATTTGTATGCATCAAATAAAATAATCTTGTTTGATGTTCAGTAGTTTCATTGTGCCTCAAACAGACTTTGAGTAAGCTGTTCTTGGCTGTTTAAATTATTAGTAAAAAAAAAAAAACCCCGCAATGAATCATGCTGTGAAAATCAAATCTGCGCACTCTGTTTTATTAAGAATAGCGGCTTTGTTTGAGTCCTTTGAACCTCACATTAAAGTAAAGACCAGAATCCTCAGTATTTTGATGTTTCTTTCATTGAACAGGGTTAGCAAATGCATTTTATTTTACAGAACATAAAAAAGAAAGGCATCTATCTCTCTGTATCTCTCTATACATGTATGTACACACACACACACACTGTTGAATTCAGAATTATTAAGGCCCCTGTGATTTTTATTTTTATTATTATTATATTTATTTATTACATTTTCCAAATTATGTTCAAAAGCATTTTTATTTTATAAAACTATTTTAAGGTCAACATTAGCCCCCTAAAGCAATAGTTTTTTTTTTTTTTTTGGATTGTCTACAGAACAAACCATTGTTACACAATGACTAGCCTAATAACCCTAACTTTAAACTGAATACTAGTGTCTTGAAAAATATCTTGTAAAATAGTATGCACTCTTATGGCAAAGATAAAAAAATGGTTATTTAAAATTAGTTTAAATGTGTTGAAAAACATTTCAGTTAATCAGAAATTGTGGAAAAAATATACAGGTGGCTAGCATTTATATACATACAGTTGAAGTCAGAATTATTAGCCCCCTTTTAACTTTCTTTTTTTTTTATATATATATATTTCTAAAATGATGTTTAACAGCAAGGAAATTTTCACAGTATGTCTAAAAAAGTATTTACTTCTGGAGTCTTATTTGCTTTATTTCGGCTAGAAGAAAAGCAGTTAGCAATTTTTTTAAACTCCATTTTAGGGTCCATATTATTAGCCCCTGAAAGCTAATTTTTTTCGATAGTCTACAGAACAGTCCATAGTCAACAATGACTTGCCTAATTACCCTAACCAGCCCAGTTAACCTAAATAATCTAGTTAAGCCTTTAAATGTCACTTTAAGCAGTATATAAGTGTCTTGAAAAATATCTAGTCAAATATTCTTTACTGTCATCATGGCAAAGATAAAATAAATCAGTTATTAGAAATGAGCTATTTAAACTATTGTTTAGAAATGTTGAAAAAATCTCTCCATTAAACAGAAAATGGGGAAAATAAACGGGGCTAATAATTCTGACTTTAACTGTATATAAATGAGCAATATCACACAAGTAGCAGTATATCATATATCGGCTCTGGTGGGAGGCATATGTTGGCTCAAGGCTGCAGGCTGAGTGCCCTGGTTCCCCCCACCAGTGACGATATACAGCCATATCGCACATCTACAAGAGTGATATTGTGTTTATACAACAGTTTGATGGCATAATCGTGTGTACAACAAAGAAAATCAAACACAGGGAGTCTTGAAACCCTTTTGTAAGAGGAACTACTTCCGCCAATCACATCTGCAGCTGAACTCAGAATATCAGAAGTCTTTGCTACTTCACCAACGTCCTTTTAGAGCTATTATTTGAATGATCCTCTAGCATAATGTCTAAGGTAAAAACAAAACAGGTGATTTTGCTCACATTTTAAGATTATAAGCCTAAACTAAATGAAATGCTATCGGTCTACAGAGATATTCCAGTATTTCTCTGTTGAAATCAGGATTTCACAACAATTAACCCTGAAAAAGCCAGAGCAAAGCAAATACTACCAGTTTCTGTGGTATTAATACAGCACTACAAAATACAAAAGAGAGAGGTGGACTCAGAATGTCACTTACCTGATTTGTAATGATTTGTTCAGCTGTAGTTTGAACTTTACACTGAGAAAATGTTGTTTTATGTGGTCTGTTGCCATCTTGTGGTGGAGCGTCAACTGTCACTTTGGTCTGCTCACACAGGCCTGATGGTGGCCAAAGCACTGAATCTGATGCTCCGAAATGTAAATATTTAAAATAGGCACTATCCTTATAAATAAATTGCATAGTTGCAATTAAAACAACTACATTACAGACTAAAAAAAAAACTCAAAAAGTGCATTATGTTGCCCAACAGCAGCAAGATTTGTCAAACTGTAAAGCTGGGGTCACCAATCTCATTCCTGGAGGTCCGGTGCCCTGCAGGGTTTAGCACCAACTTGCCTCAACACACCTGTCTGGGTGTTTCAAGTATACCTACTAAGACCTTGATTAGCTTGTTCAGGTGTGTTTGATAAGGGTTGGTGCTAAAATCTCCAGGACACCGGCCCTCCAGTAACAAGTTTGGCGATCCCTGCTCTAGAGTGTCCTCTGCTTGTTTCTGTATGTGGGTGGAATAACAGAAGGGGGAAGAGGCTGTATCAGTGCTGATATTTGCAAAATATTGCACGGCTATCAGCCAATCAGATACAAGAACCAGATAGATAGATAGAACAAAGTTATATTGTGAAAAAAATATTCAAATATAAAATCTAAATTGTATTTGAATAGATTTTAAATTGTAAGTTATTTCTGGATGGTGAAGCTGAATTTTAAAATGTCAATTATATGTTCAGGAAACATTTCAGATTGCCACTGTCGAATACACATAGTTTTTTTTAATATTTTGTGCTAATATAACCCCGCTGGTCCTACACCACCTAACCCTCTCAGAGCTGGTTTCGAACCGGCGACCTTCCTGCATGGTTTTCGACTGTTCTAACAAGGAGGCTAAAGACCATGACCTCTAGCGTCCGTCGCTAGAGCACCTTTAGAGGTCAGAGGAGTGAGGTTTACCTGCACAGCACTTACTAGGTGGCCTCTGTTACACTTACCCCCCTAAACCTCACTCCCATCAGGGTCACGGCACCAATGTAACCCTGCCGGTCCTACACCACCCAACCCTCTCCGAGCTGGTTTCGAACCGGCAACTTTCAGCATGGGAGTCGGTTGCTCTAACAAGGAGGCTAAAGACCATGGCCTCTAGTGTCTTTCGCTAGAGCACCTTTAGAGGTCAGAGGAGTGAGGTTTACCTGCACAGCACTTACTAGCTGGCCTCCGTTACACTAAACTATATATATTTTTCAGTAGCCTTAACAAATGTTTCATTCTTGACCACCAAATACTCATTTCTTAACTCTTTTGGAGTCAAGACACTTGTATATTGTCTAAAAATAAATACAATTTTCTAATGCAAAAAAAGCTTAATTTACAATGGTAAGGAAATGTAATCAGTAGTTTACAGAAATGAAATTGTAGAAGAAATGCACATTTTAATTCATAGTATAGAATAAATGACTATATATATTACATGTACTTAATCCCCAGTACATTCTTATCAATGCACTCTGCAAATTTCAATATAAATGCAAGTAATAACTAGTTTATTTAATATTTTTAAATAATTTTTTAAAAAGTAAAATAATTTTCTTTTTCAATTATGTTTTTACGCTTTTTCTTTGTCACATTTAACAATAAAAAGTCGTCAAGCGGAACTATCGCGTGCTTCCACGCCTCCGGAGACCATTGATTGCGTTGCACACTGAGAGCGGAAGTTGCTGGTAGTCCGCAGCGGATGAATGGATTCGCTGTCCACTCTGCACTTCATTAGTGTTTGCGCAGAGACGCGTCTGTAAAACAATGAAGCGACCGAAGAGGACGTTATTCATCTCGGCTTTAAATTAACGTACACCACCGAGAGTGACATGCAGTCTTTGTAACCGTAAATGATTACAAACTAACAGAGCGAACTAAAAATCAAGATAGAGTCACAGGATGTACTTTACTTTAGGTAACGTTAACGTTAGCGGTATCTATTGTCATTCTCCCCAAGCTGCAGTCGTGCTCGTCGTAATGGGTTTCCATGGGCGGAGTGTGTAAAAACCAAGGGTCTCCTTCAGTCTCGGCTCCAGCATCAGCAGCAGGTCATCATGAGGATGAGACTGAAGCTGAAGACAGTGTTTGTCCTGTACTTCATGGTGTCTCTGTTTGGGCTCCTGTACGCGCTGATGCAGCTCGGTAAGACTGCACTCTCTGTCAGCGTGGACTTGCTTTATTCTGTGTGTTTTGCATTATTAACAAGAACTAGCATGTGCAGTCTCGTAGTTCATTATACAACCACAATATTTCACATGCCTTAAAGCAGGGGTCACCAATCTCGGTCCTGGAGGGCCGGTGTCCCTGCTGGGTTTAGCTCCAACTTGCCTCAACACACCTGCCTGGGTGTTTCAAGTATACCTAACAAGACCTTGATTATCTTGTTCAGGTGTGTTTGATTAGGGTTGGAGCTAAAATCTCCAGGAGACCGGCCCTCCAGGAACAGGTTTGGTGACCCCTGCCTTAAAGGGATGAAATTCTGCCATCATTCACTCGTCTCAAACCTTGAGTTTTTCTTCTGATGGACACAAAAGAAGATATTTAGAAGAAAGCTGGAAGTCTTTAATCATTGACATCCATGGTGTTTGTTTCATACTGTAGAAGCCAATGGGTTTCACCTTTCTTCAAAGTATCTTTGTGTGAAACAGAAGAAAACCCTCTAAAAGATGAGTAAACAGAGTAAATTTTCAAAAAATCTCATTTTTGAGATTAACAAGAGATAAAAAAAGAAGAGGTTGCATATTATCATCAATTTACAAACAATTAAACACACTTTACAAGTTGTCCACATCCGTAAGATATTAAAATGCACTGTTAAAGGGATAGTTTATCCAAAAATGGACTTTTACTCCGTATTTACTCACTCATAAAAGTGGTTCCACACCTTTATGAGTTTATTTTTCTGTTGAACATAAAAGACGATATTTAGAAGAAAGCTGGAAGTCTGTAATCATTTGACGCTTTGGGTCTTAGAAAAGCTTTAAATTAAAAACTAAATAAATAAATAATTAAATGTATTATTACACCCATAGTGTTTGTTTTCATACTATGGAAGTCTGCGGTTTTCAACTTTCTTCAAAGTATCTTCTTTTTGCTAAACAGAAGAAAACCCTGTAAAGGTTTGAACCATGTAAAGGTTGAGTAAATAGAGAGTACATTTACATTTTTGAGATTTGCAAGAGTTAAAAAAGAAGAGAGGGGTAAGAATCATCAATTTGCAAACAAACACGGATACAATCTATCAGATTACATTAAACCATCTGTCAGGAATCTAGGGTTCATACTTGATTCTGCCCTTCTATTTGACTAACAGGTAAATTAAGCAGTCAAATCTTGTTTTTTTCCCCGTTGAGATTAGACAAAGTGAAAGGCTTTTTAATTCAAGAGATTCATTCATTCATCACGCTTGAACTATTGTAACTCAATACATATAGGTAAAGGCTAATCCTATATAAATCACCTACAAGTGGTCCAAAATGCAAATTTGAATTTGTTGTTGAACCAGAAAATGCTGAAAGTCTTACAGATCCAGACTAAAGAAAAAAGAAGACCGAGCTATTTCTTTAGTAGGTCCTAAAATGTGGATTGGCTACATTTGTCTATTTGGACAATCTCTTGAATTCTTGTTCAAAGTCACACTACATCTCTACATAAAGCTTTTAAATTGGGAGGAAATTGATCTTATTGTGCCTGTCTTTGTTTCTGCTGTATGCGGTTGATGTTTCTGTGCTATGTTAGTTGTCCTGTATGCTGTTTTATCTGTTGTTGTCTACCTTTTATCATATATAACTCTAGGTGTGTACAGAACACTGGTCAACAGCTGTTGATTTATTGCACATTATAGATAAAGTAAGAGTAAAGAAGAATTTTCAAGTTGTCCATATCCGCAATATATTAAAATGCACTGTTAAAGGGATGATTCACCCAAAAATTAACATTTACTCACTATTTCCTCACCCTTAAGTTGCTCCAAATCTATGAGTTACATTCTTCTGTTGAAAGCTGAACAGCTGTAACTATTGACTTCCATAGTAGGAAAAACAAATACTGTGGAAGTCAATAGTTACAGGTTTACAGCCTTCTTCTAAATATTCCCTTTAGTGTTCATCGCAAGAAGAAGGTCAAACAGGTTTGGACCGAGTGAAGGGGGAGTAGATGATGACAGACTTTTCATTTTTAGGTGAACAATCCCTTTAATACAGATGATATACATACATATAAACCTTTTATGTTCTTTTATAGTATTAATTGCTTTTATATCGCTTCTCTCTTATACATTATACATTCTCTTATACATTATAAGCTCTGTTTTAGTACCATGAAGAGCGGTTTGCTTTTTTATAATTTATAATTTGTGCATTTGTTTCTATAATAATAAAACCAGCCTTGTTTATCCTTGATATAGCTTTATTCAGTGTTGTTGGTGGTTGTTTTTCGTCCTCAGGTCAGCGCTGTGACTGTCGAGATCATGAGCAATCTAAAGATCAGCAGATCTCTCAGCTGAAAGGGGAACTGCAGAAGCTGCAGGAGCACATCAAAACATCAGAGCTGTCCAAGAAGACGGATGTGCCCAGAATATACGTCATAACACCCACATATGCTAGGTAGGCCAAATAATAATAATAATATAGACATGTCAGTCATGATGTCAGTTCATTCTGTTGAAAGAACTAGCAGCGCTTGTGTGAGGTGTTTTGTTACAGGTATAATGTCTTTGCACAGCCAGTTTTAAGGCATAGTTCACCCAAAAATATTAGTTTATTTTTTTACTATGGAAGTCAGTGATAATGATTTTACAACATTTTTCAAGATATCAGAAGGATGCACCTGGACAACGCAACATTTGGGCATTCTGTGCTGAACAAACACCACAGACAGGGTGTGGAGACAGGGTGATAAAGCCAATTATGATACAGGGATGGCTAGGAGGAGATGATGGCCAGAGGCCAGCAGACAAAGTTGCCCAGGATACCAGGCACACACACACCCCTAATATCTGAAGGACATCCTGGAATATTTAATGACCACGCAGAGTCAGGACCGTTTAAGTTAACATCCCATCCGAAAGACGGGCCTCACTGACAGCATAGTGTCCACATACTGAGACATTAGGATTCAAACAGACCACAGAGTGAGCACCCTCTGGTGGCCTTTCAAGATTTACCATGTCTCCCATACAGGCACTAACCAGGCGCAGCCCTACTTAGCTTCAGTTTGTGACCATGAGAGAGCTATTAGTGCGCGATTTGGCCTGTGCAATATGACAATATATTTGTATGGACAAAATAAAAAAGTTTATAGTTTCATATTAGGCTTTATCGTTTGTATTGTGGTGTCACAAAAAACATTGTTTATGGTAATACTTTTTCATAATTTAGATGAAAACAATAGTTCATGCCATAATAGGGATTCAGACAGAACAATGAATACCTGCATTGTGAGAAACTTGCAATTTAGTATTTTATTTATTTGTATTTTTATGTTGGACCAGTTATCTTTTTTTTTTAAAGGGTTTTATATTTTATTATTTTTAAATTTTTTTATTTCTACATTTTGACTTAAACATTTGCCCTGAAGTTCTAAATAAAGTAAGAAATATGAGTATATACAAGTCAGTACATTTTTAAAATATTTTTACATGCATGCTTTAAAATGTAAAAAGAGGTAATTTGCATGTCGTCAATATATAAACTATAAATTGATTGAATTCATAAAAACAGTACTATATCATGGTGTATATCATTATCAGGATATGAGATGATGACAATGTTCTTTTGAATGAGTGATGCATATTGCTGAAGCATACAGGTTTTTCCTCATTTACAATTTAGTACATGAGTTGAAAATGCTGATTGACTATGCTATGTTTGACATGAATGAATTAATGAATGAGTGTATTTTATATAGCACTTTACAGTATTTCTATACACCCAAAGTGCTTTGCAAGCCCACGAGTGGGTCTGTCCTCACCACCACTAGTGTGCAGATCCACCTGTATGATGCCATAGCTGCTAGAGTACAATGACACTAGTGTGCTCACCACATACCTGCTGTAGGGGATGAGAGACAGTGATAGAGCAACGTCAGTGGATGGGATAATTAAGAGGCCCTGATAGGTGAGGGCCAATGGAGGGTTTTTTGGGGTTACACCCCTACTCTCTATGAGAAGTGCTATGGAAATTTGAGTGACCACAGAGAGTCAAGGCCTACATTTAAAATCTCATCTAAAGGTCGGTGATTGTAGGCCCCATTTACACTACAAGTGACCCAATTCAGATTTTTCCTGTCATGTGGCACACATCATATATGTTCACCTATGTGTAAGCAGGATAAAATCACATGGATTCCACTCATATCAGAGTCAGTCTTTATTTATGCGTGGAAGTAACGTTAATAATGTGAATCAGATATGTGTGCATTTGGAGCTGCAGTGTAAGCAGGTAGATTGAGTTTTTTTTTCCTGTTAATGCAAGTCGTACGATTAAGAATGACGGTCACAAAAGACGTCAACTTTGATGCCGCTCTCAAGACAGAGTCGTGCATGAGTCTTAAAATTTAAATCTCATCTGCAAGGACAAACAGTCAAGTTAGAGAACAAGAGATAGAGCAAGATCAGCCATGTGAACAATATAAAACCATTAACATCATGTGAACCAACTTTTTGGTCAAATTGTGTGAAAGTAACACCACATGGGCATGACAGATTTTGGTTCCTATTTACATGATAGCATTACGCAGTTCTGCTGATTTGTCGGCTGCACAACCATGAAGCAAATCACCTATTCCACCATATTCCAACGGTGCTCTATTGGATTGAGATCTGGTGACTGTTGAGGTCATTTGAGTACAGTCAACTCATTGTCGTGTTCAAGACAAACAATCTGAAATGATTCGAGCTTTATGAGATGCTGGAGGTAGTCATCAGAAAATGGGTACACTGGGCTCATAATGGGATAGACATGGTCAGCAACAATGCTCAGGTTGGCTGTGGTGCTGACACGATGCTCAATTGGTACTAATGAACCCAAAGTGTGCCAAGAAAATATCCCCCATACTATTATGCCACCAAAAGCAACCTGAACCACTGACACAAGGCAGGAGGGATCCATACTTTCATGTTGTTGATGCGAAATGCTGACCCTACCATCCGAAAGTCTCAGAAATCGAGACTCATCAGACCAGGCAATATTTTTCCAATGTGAGCCTGTGCGAGTTGTAGCCTCAGTTTCCTGTTCTCAGCTGACAGGTGTGGCACCCATTGTGGTCGTCTGTTGCTCCAGCCCATCAGGTTGGTTGTGTTGTGTGTTCAGAGATGCTCTGCTGCATACCTCGATTGTAACGAGTGGTTATTTGAGTTACTGCTGCCTTTCTATCAACTCGAACCAGTCTGGCCATTCTCCTCTGACCACATCAACAAGGCATTTGCGCCCACAGAACTGCCGCCCACTGGATATTTTCTCTTTTTCCGACCATTCTCCGTAAACCCTGGAGATGGTTGTGTGTGAAAATCCCAGTAGATCAGCAAATTCTAAAACACTCAGACCAGCTAGTCTGGCACCAACAATCATGCCACGTTCAAAGTCACTTAAATCACCTTTCTTCCCCATTCTGATGCTCGGTTTTAAACCACAGCAAATCGTCTTGACCATGTCTACATGCCTAAATGCATTGAGTTGCTGCCATGTGATTGGCTGACGAGAAATTTGCATTAAAAAGCAGTTGGACAAGTGTACCTAATAAAGTGGCTGATGAGTGTATAATAAAGGTGAAAACCAAATATACTCTCAATACGATCTGGTACTGATTCTCTTTGCTTTATGTTGTAGCAATACAATACCTTAAAAATTCTGAAGTACAATAGGATTGATTGATGAATTGATATTATGATTTTAAGGGCCCGTTCTACACAACCAGTTACATTTTTATTTGACACGCAACTAAAATGGTTGACGTTGGATAAAAGTGTAAATTCATTAATTCTTATTCTCATTTTGGTGGTTCCAAAGTTTTTCTTTATGGTCAATTGGTGCATCTCTAATTAAAAATCAACCTTTATTAACTGATACTAATAATGCCCACCACTATATCATGCATCCCTACAGGTAGCCTAAGAATAGTTGTCGCTGTATAGATCTTAATGTCTCTGTTTGTCCCTCTTCATCCTCTCTCCAGACTGGTGCAGAAAGCTGAGCTCACTCGTCTATCTCACACATTCCTCCACGTTCCCCAGCTGCACTGGATCGTGGTGGAAGATGCTCCTCAGCAAACTCAGCTCGTCTCCGACTTCCTGTCTGCTTCCGGCTTGACCTACACTCATCTAAACAAGCTGACGCCCAAGGAGAGGAAGCTGCAGGAGGGAGACCCCAACTGGCTGAAGCCCCGGGGGGCTGAGCAGAGGAACGAGGGTCTGCGCTGGCTCAGATGGATGGGTTCTACAGTTCACGGGAAAGAAGCAGCTGCCCTTGAAGAGGCCGTGGTTTACTTTGCTGATGATGACAACACGTACAGCCTACAGCTTTTTGAAGAGGTGAGCTGTTCACTTTTTGGTAGTTAAATATCAAGTCACACTTCAAATGTGAAGACATGCAGTGGAACAAAATAATGTGTCTTGCAAGTCCATGGTGCTACATACTTGCAAGATGATAATAGTAAATAATAGTAAAACTGATACACAACAATAGTAAAAATGCACGTTTTTGAAAGAAAGCTTTTACGCTCTTATACTTGAAATTTTATCAGTCATACATCAGAATGAGATCAGTGCTTAAATAACAAATCACTCAAAATAATCTTGATATTGCCTTCTAAATAATACCCTTTGCCATATGCTGAATAAGACATTTAAGACTTGCATATGATATTGTAAAAGTCTTCTATGTCAAATAATGATGTTATATTAGACCGTAATACCTCTACTCTTGTAAGGAATATGGTTTTATTTTATTGGTAATTCTGGAAAAGTGTTTAATCAATTAATCTAAGTTATTGCCAAAGATTTTAGGGGACAATCTAAAACATTGTATAGTTTTAATATCTCAAAGAAGTAAAAACAATTTTGCCGATTCATTCCTATGTGGCATAAATATAGTCATAAAAGCTAGCATGGCTTGGAAGGAAAGAAGGAGGCAAGGAAATAAGATGGGAGGAAAGAAAGAAGAAAGGAAAGGAACAAACAAAGGATGGAAGGAAATGAACTAAAGAAAGAAGAAAGCAAAGGATGAAAAAAGGAAGGAAAGAAAAAAATAAAATGAAGGAAAGAAAGGTAGGAAGGAAAGAAAGAAGGAAGGAAAAAAGATTGAAAGAGAAAGCGAAGGAAGGAAGGAAGGAAAGAAAATGAAAAAGGAAGCAGAAATAAAGAAAGAGAAGAAAAGTTGGGAGGAAGGAAAAAAGAAGGAAGGAAAGAATGAAAGCGAAAGGAAGGAAGGAAAATAAGAAAGGAAGGAAAAGTTAGGAAGGGAAGAAAGAAGGTAGGAAAGAAAGAAAGGATGGAGGAAGGAAAGGTAAAAAGTAGGTAGGAAAGAAAGAAGAAAGGAAAGGTATGAAGGAAGGAACAAATGAGAGTAGGAAAGTAGGGAAGAATGAAAGAGAGAGAAAAGGAAAAGAAAAGAAAGAAAGAAATGTTGTCATTCTTTTATGCTACAATTTTAATCTGTCTGACATGATCTTAGTGTTGATTTGGTTCTCCAGAAGTATTTTATATTTTCAATGATAAAAAAGCTGTTTAATATTTTCTGCTACTCTGATGCATTTTCCAGATTATCTTTTGTAAACAGAATGCATTTAAAACATGTATGCAGCTATATATGGTATACTGTAAAGTTTTTGGAAAATCTTAAATAAATGTCTATTTTCCATGATCTGAACTCTGAAATATCAGCAATTAGTTTTGTCCTAAAATCTAAAAAGCTGCTACATTTGAGTCTTTACAACATAATTTTAATAAATGAACATTATTTACTAAAATTGTTACGTCACTGCTCCGGTTTACCCTACAGTCCAAAGACATGCGTTATAAGTGAATTGGGTACACAAAATTGGCTGGAGTGTGTGAGTGCGTGTGTGAATAAGATGGTGTATGGGTGTTTCACAGTACTGGGTTGCGGCTGGAACTGGAAGAGCATCCGCTGCCTAAAACATATGCTGGAATAGTTTGTGGTTCATTTCAGTGTGGCAAGCCCTGGTAAAAATGGGAAGGAAAATGAATGAATGAATGTTACATCACCTTATTTTGCACTATAATGTGCATTACTAAAAAAATTTCCACTTAATGTCATTATTCAGATGTACAAAACTAAATGGAATTTATTTATGACATCTGTACTAATAGAAGTAGATGTAAAACATGTTCAAATATTAAAGTTTGTGAAGACGTTTTGGGGAATTTTACTGAAAACTGACTGTGACAGCCATTTCATGGGAGGTTTCTAGTTGAACCTCTAGGTCGGGCTGTTTTGGAAGTATAATAATATAGTAATTCAGATACATTTTATCATTGAGCTCTCAAATGCACCAACCCACATTGGGTCTAGTCTTTTCCAATGAACAAATGGACAAAAGATTTCCTTTTTTCCTCCAAAGATCTTTCTCTTACACATGTCTTTCTCCATTCACACTGTCCTTTGGTTGTCCGCAGATGCGCTATACTTACCGTGTGTCAGTGTGGCCTGTGGGTCTGGTGGGTGGGATGAAGTTTGAGCGGCCCGTGGTGGAGGATGGGAAGGTTGTGCGTTTCCACACTGGCTGGCGTCCCAATCGGCCCTTCCCTATCGACATGGCTGGATTTGCAGTGTCCCTGAGGCTGGTACTGACCAATAAGGAAGCTTTGTTTGACGGAGACGCTCAGATGGGCTTCCTGGAAAGCAGTTTCCTTCAGCACCTGGTCACTATGGATGACCTTGAACCGAAAGCAGACCTGTGCACCAAGGTGAGTCCTTTATTCTGCTTCTGGTCTCTACTCTGCTGCATACTAAGATAATGTAACATTGTGTTACACGACTTATTATTCTTTTGAGGTTTTGTTTTTATTGATTATACATTTGCAAGTGAGACAAACTATAACATAAAAATCTGACCAGAACAGATTGAGATGAAAAACATTAAAAGGACAGATCCCCAAGCAGTTAAATGACATTATATTTCTCATACCCCATTTTTATTCCTCCCATGTAAAACATAATTATAAGGCAAATTTTAACTTTTAGATTTTCAATTATTTAGGCTATACTTAATTTTATTTGTTTTGGTTTTCAAGAGTTCTGGGCCCATACATACATTTAGACACAGTAAGAATACAGAAAAGACATTCAGAAATATGATATAATAAAAATGATTATCTCAGGTACCGATTATGTGCTTTAATAAACGTTAAAAGTGTCTAGTATCATTTTGTATGGCCTTTATTGCCATATTGAAAGTGACAAATAACTTACCTCAGGCAAGTATATTAATTATTTTATAAAGATTATATAACTGTCACTCAAAAAGGTTGTTAAGTTGTTGACATGGTTTAGTATTTATTATTTATATTATGCACTCCATTTTATTTGCCCACATCATTTTTTGATTGGGTGTGATTTTAATTTTTTTTTTATTTTGTCTTGGAGTCATTTATTTTCTGTGGTGGACAGACAAAATGTTGCTTCCAGAAACATATTGCATTGCATCTGGTTATGACTAAGTGTATTAATGCTTCTTACCACATCACGATTGAGTCATTTGACATGCTACAAATTGAGATTTGTAAACTTTGGCAGAGGAGGAAAAAATCCACTTGTACTGGAATCAGGTAAATTGTTTAGTTTTTGGCTATGTGGAAATGATTTAAAGGGATAGTTCAGCAAAACTTTCAGGAGTTGTGGACCTTCTCTAATTAATAATATTAACGGTTATTTCTTAATGGTAAATAATGTTTTGTTTCTTACACATGCCAATGTTTTTCTTTGTTTTTCTAACAAACATTATTTACACTTAAAATAAAATAAAATGTTTTTGCTGCTTGTTTAAATTACTTCTTTTATAATGAGCTGAAACAACACAATTCATGAGGGTTTTTTTTTGGGAGAATTTAATGTGTTTTTTTTACAATTTTAAGTTGATTGAACATAAAACAGTTAACTTAATCAGTTTGCGTTGCGATGACATGAAGGGACTGTGAAACCCAGCATTTTTACAGTGTACATCAGAAGCAATAATTATTAATTTTGTTTTGTCTGATTTTTGTTTTTACTATCAAAATACCAGCAGCCATTGACTAGAAATGGGCCGGTCTAAGTTGGTGATAAGATGGTAATATTAAGTAATAATAATTCCTTAAATTTTATATAGCGCTTTACACATTGGGGGGATCTCCTCATCTACCACCAGTGTGCCGCATCCACCTGGATGATGAGATGGCAACCATATTGTGCCAGACTGCAAACCACACAAAAGCTGTTTGTGTAGAGAAGACAGAATGATTACGATAAGGGGATGGTTTGGAGGCCATGATATGGACAGAGGCCAGTCTGCAAATTTAACCTGGGATTTTTAATGACCACAGAGAGTCAAGATCTCAGTTTCACGCTTTAACTTTAACGTCGGTTTAAGAGTTGCAGAGAGCTAGCTGCCGGCAATTATATGGTATGATGTTATGATAACCTTGGATAATAGTGAATTCTTTTTAAATGTTTGAGTAAAAATAACAACATTTACCCCATTGAACACAATATATTTTATTTTAGGAAACGTTTTAAATATTTTGGAATAATAAACCTGTAAAACTAAATAATTCAAATAAACCATTGATGTTTGCTGTCCTCATTGATTACAAAACACAGATTTTTTTTTTTACAAAACCTCAAAAAACAAATTAAAAACCTTCCATATACGTCTGAACCTTGACTTTCCCAAACTACGTTACACCTTTAAACCGGTTATTGTCCCATGCCTATCATTGACTTTATTTTATGAATCACCAAGTACTACCTTTTTACCTAAAATTCTTCTTTAATGCTGAAGAGAAAAAGTCACCATCTTGAATGAGTTCTGAAGGTAAATAAACTATCAGCAGAATTGTGTTTTAGGGCGAACAGCCACTTAAAGAATGCTTTATAAAGTCCACTTAAGTTACTGATTGCCATGACCTACTTCTACAAATAGTTGTTCAGCAATTTAAACTTGAAATTCCTGTGCGGACAATAAATTTGAAATTGCTCATGAACTAAAAGCCAGCCAGTTCCTAAACTCTGAGTGTTGCCCAACCCTTTTTGCAACGAGGGTGAGTAAAAAATGACTTTTTTTGCCGAAATGATGCTTTTTTTTGTTTTTCAATGCTCTTCTCAGGTGCTGGTTTGGCACACCCGGACTGAGAAGCCAAAGATGAAGAGAGAAGAAGCTTTGCTGAAGCAGGGGATGGGCTCTGATCCGGATGTGGAGGTGTGAGCAGAACATGCCCGAACTTCACCAAACATCCACACTTCCATTGTGCCAAACACATTCTCTTATTTATCTGGCAAGAGCTGAAGCTTGTAATGTAATGCAGACACTATAAATGTGAACTCTGGCCTACAAACCAAAGACATGAGGAATGAGGAAAGAAAATGATGAATGCATAGATAAGAAAAGCAGGAGATGCACACAGAACAACCCGTGACTTAAATGCAAATGGCTTGCTAGAAATCATTTTACATTTCAGAATCCATGCTTATCATCTGAATAGTATTTAAAGAATTTTACAGGCACGCAAGTTGAGCTTGTGTCGATGTTTTTAGAAATGTATAAAAGTTTGCCGGGATTATATTTATTACTCATTGTTATGTCTATGCTCTCCATGTCTCTATTACATTAGGTGTTCTTGTCCTATGTATTAAGTCTTAAAGGGATAGTTCACCCAAACATACCAATTTCCTGACAATTTACAAGTGATTCCAATCTTTTATGCATTTCTTTTTTCTGTAGAACACAAAACAAGATATTTATAGGAATGTCCACAGTAGGAAATAAAAGTATTATGGAAGTCGATGACTGCTGCTCATCGACATTCTTCAGTATATCTTCCTTTAATAAGAGAGTAATTAAATGATGACAGACTTCTCATTTTTGAGTGAACTGTCTCTTAAGGATAATTCTTCGCTGATACGCGGAGGATATAAATAGATCAGAAATTGTTCCTATTTATGCCATTAATCTATGAATCATGACAGTGTGCTTTATCTTTAGTACAGTGCCATGTGTTGCGTGGCACTGGTAAAGAGTGTAAAGTACGTATGTTGTCACTTGACCCTGGAAAAAGACAGAGCATGAAAACATTTACAGAATGTGAGGACATTTTGAGCTTATTTTTTTGCACATCATGATACTGGTGGAGATGTAAAAATGTAGATAGCAGAAAAATGTAGCAGATAATTGTTTTCAGCACAGGTCATCGGATACCTTATGTCGAAAATGTGCTGCTTTATTGATTTAAAAATGTACAGAATTGCAATGTATGTATAGATGTCAGGATTGTGCAGAATCTTTAAAGGTGCCATAAAGTGTATTGACTCAATATGTAAAATGTTCTCAGATATATATGCATAGTAGGTTTGTGGCTTAGGTCATTTCAAAAATTCTCCATAAATAGTTTTATATGCTTATTTATGATCAGAGGAGTTACCCCTAAAATGAAAACCTTGGTTTTGACCATATTTGGA